GAAAAATGAGGGCAAAAACAAAAGTGTTGCGTTTTACGTATATATATATATATATATATATATATATATATGCTAACATAAGCTAACGTATACTTGCCTAGAGCTCTCTGTATTTTTTATTACTATGCATATTAGTCAATATTTAGAGTAGCACGAGTATAAAGGTGCCTTTGATAAAAGTAATAAACAGTGTTGTCTTTTTCCACAAATGAAAATTGTGCTGGAATTTTATGTGTTCAAACACAACACATATACACACAATATAAAGTACAGTGCTGTCTTTTTATTCAGTTTACTCTATGGGGAAAAAACTAACTAACTGGTTTCATGGCCAGAGGAGAACTGGCCCCCCGACTGAGCCTGGTTTCTCCCAAGGTTTTTTCTCCATTTCTTTCACTGAAGGAGTTTTGGTTCCTTGCCACTGTCGCCTTTGGCTTGCTTAGTTGGGGACACTTGACTGATTGCACAGACACTATTGAAAGAGAGCTGAAATGGATGATGACATCACTGAATCATCAATGAACTGACAAATAACTCTTTGTAATTGTCCTCTTGCATTATTGACAAACTATTTTCCTATTTGACACTGTAAAGCTGCTTTGACACAATCAGTATTGTATAAAGTGCTATACAAAGCTTAGTTGGGGACACTTGACTGATTGCACAGACACTATTGAAAGAGAGCTGAAATGGATGATGACATCACTGAATCATCAATGAACTGACAAATAACTCTTTGTAATTGTCCTCTTGCATTATTGACAAACTATTTTCCTATTTGACACTGTAAAGCTGCTTTGACACAATCAGTATTGTATAAAGCGCTATACAAATAAAGGTGACTTGACTTGACTTGACTTTACTCGGCTTGGCTTTGAGGTTTTTATACAAGAGGTCAACATATGATGTACGTAAATCCTATCTATTTGTGTATTGTGTGTGAACCTACTTAGCCATATTTCAGGGACAAATTTGTAGGAAAAAAAAGTATTGGAACACCCCCTTCTAATGAATAGGTTTGACTACTTTAGTAATTTCCATGAGTATAAATCTTAATGTTTAAGCATATAATGATATTCTAGGGCAGGGGTAGGCAAGTTTGGTCCTAGAGAGCCCGCAGTCCTGCAGAGTTCAGCTCCAACCCTGAAAAAAAACTCACCTGCCTATAGCCTTAGTAATCCTGAAGACATTGATTAGCTTGTTCAGGTGTGTTTGATTAGGGTTGGAGCTGAACTCTAGGGCATTTTAGCACTTACGGTGCTTTTCTTGCTTTGGTACTTTTTTGTGCTGGCTTGTGCTTGGACCTTCTGGGAATTTTCTTTCATTTGTGCATGAAACGAACCTGTCCATTTTGCGTGACTTCGCGGTTTTCTGATATCGTGCCCATTGTCATGACGTCGGTCACATGACACAAATTAAACAAATAATATTTATTTTTGTTAGTACGTTTTATTTAGATTTTTTATTTTAATATTACGTAGCCTATTATTTGTTTAATTTCTTTTTAAATAATTATATTTTAATTATCTGCTTGTCATCAACTCGCGAACCCCAGTTTGGGAAACCCTGTATTAGGGTGTGGGTTAGTGTAAGAGTATTCATACTGTAACTATATTAAAATAATAGAAGCTAATTTGTAAGTCAAGTCAAGTCAAGTTTATTTGTACAGCGCTTTTCACGATACAAATCATTGCAAAGCAACTTTACCAAAAAGTCTACTGAACCTTTCGTGTCCTCGTCGATACATGGGAAGCGGTCCTGACACGATGATCGTCGTCGCGGGCGATGTGCTGCGCACCGTCTCGATCAGGCTCCTGAAGTCCCTCTTCAGTGTCTCCGTCTGCCGTAACTTGGTGTCGTTAACCCCTGAGTGAAGCACGACCGCTCCGGTGCTCTCGTCGCCCTTCAGGATCGCGGGTATCTGCGCAGAAACATCGAGAACACAAGCGCCAGGGAAACAGTGAGTGTGCACTTTACCTTCAGCTAACGTAGCACGGACGTGCCGGACGATGGAGTCTCCGATGATCACAGCGTCGCGTTCCGTCTCGCGGAGGGGAGCGATGTAAACTGTGCTAAATATGCATACCACAATGTGGTTTTTTGTAAAAACATAGTTTTGCACATTTTTGACTTCTGAAAATTATATTCATACGTTTTCTTTTAGTTTTATCGTTATTTATTTGGTAACACTTTATTTTAAGGAGCAATTCTCACTATTAGCTAGTTGCTTATTAGCATGCGTTTTACTATAATATTGGCTGTTTATTAGCACTTACAACGCACATATTAATGTGTTATCTGCATGACCATATTTTAGATCCCTTAATCCTACCCCATACCTAAACTTTACAACTACCTTACTAACTATTAATAAGCAGCATTAGGAGTTTTAGAAATTAGGAGTTTGAGGCAAAAGTTGTAGTTTTGGCTTTTGGATTGATTGTTTTTTAGCCTTCAAAATATCATTTCTGCAGAGCCCTTTAGCACTGTATGTTGTTTCATTTCATTCAGATCCCTCCAAAGTACACGTCAAGAAAATAATCAGCTTACAGGCGAGTGCTAATATGAAAAGTAATAATATGTATCAAATTTCACTCCACCTTTACTTCAGACCTAAAATATTTTTAGTATCTGGCAAAAATCTCAGTTATGAAACTAAAATGTCAGTGTCATTAAATTGGTTTGGATTGTCAGTAAACCAGATTGCTGTGGCTGAAATTGAATGTGGACTCTTTCTTGAGGGCAAATTCACAGTTGGTAATAACAAAAGCACACAGACTCAAGAGAATACACGTTCTGAGTGTTTGGTTATAACACCATGAGAGTTGAATGTGTGCTGGAAACATGATTCTGGGAAGGAGAGCAAGGTCATATTGGCAGATCTGAAGCTGCATTCCCCAGAGTTTAGCTGCTCTCTCTTCCTATTTCTCCTTCTGTATTCTTCTCAATAGAACTTTTTGCCATACCTAACAATAGTGAGTAAATTAAAAAAAATGTTTTGTCCCTATGATGATATTTAGCTGCTTTATTTTTGCATGTTTGCGACATGCCATTATATATGAAATAGCATAGACATATTCAATAAGTAATTTAAGTCGCTAGAAGCCCTTTGATTAATATATTCATACTCTGTCCCTCTGTGTGCTTGTTTTATTTGAATTCTTTGTCTTGCTGCCTCTGATTGTCAGACTTAAATCTGTTCAATTCAGATGGAATATATTAATCATAAGATGAGAGGCAGGCGAATGTGTGCTCAATTGTGTCTTTCTTTGTCTTTCATGTGTTCCGCTCTCAGATACACCCTCTGCTCCTACAGAAGAAGAGGGCTGACACCTGCAAATCCAGACTGCTGCGTCGCACCATCAGTGTTCCTGTGGAGACGCACTTCCCGGAATTACAATGTCATCTCTCAGTGGACAATGGTGAGTGTACTACTGTTACTCAACATGTTTACAACACGGACAGGGGCCATGGTCTCTCATGGTCATAGAAAACCTAGAAATATACGGAAATGTAAAACTTTTAATCATACTTTTGTAGTTATGCTTGACTCCTAAAGTATTTTATCCGCTATAATTAACTTTTGTGCATGAAAAAAGAGTTTATGAAGTCTTAGTCAAAATTTGTTTCCTCCCCGCAAAATATCCTATAATATAAAACCATCATTATTTTATTTTATTTTATTTTATTTTTAATTATGAGGTATCGGTCAAACTTTTGGTCACTTTTTTGGTCACAAACTACCTTTGATACATATTTGCAGATGAACACATTTGTTATTGTGATTAACGAAGAGAGCAAATATAGGAGTTGTACTAGCCTCAGACCATGCTAGTGACTAATTTGTGTTTTTGTATTATTTATTTTTGCTACCTTATATATAGTTACTTGAGCCATGTCATTTCCATTGATGCCAGCAGGGGAGGATGTTTGCTGCAAAATTATTTTCTTCTGGCAAAGGATGTTTCTTCCAGTGCCTGCATTCTTACAGTTTGGACTAGCTTTTATACTCATTGTGTTTTTATTTTGATCACATTTTTACCTATTATCTATAATGTGTGCATACAGTACTTCATTTGGCTGATGTTGATTTGTGCTATTTGACTGGCCTACCAATGCATGTATATTTTTCCATGAACATGCTACTGCAAAATGGACCCTGTCAAATGGATGATTTTTTAGAGAAATCCCTTTAAAGGTGTGCTGAGTGGTTGTTTATGTGAGACTAATGCTTTTAGCGTGTGTAGGAGCATCAAATTTTGGTCACTGAAAATGTGTCTTGACAACACATATTACCTGGATTTAAAATACAGAACAAATTTCAAGGAAATTGATTTAAAATCAGATGTTTTCAGTAGTGATCAGATTTGTTTTCAGTTGTGAATGTAGACAAGCCTGATCTAGGATCATTGGTGATTTAAAGTAATATTCTGGGTTAAATACTATATAATCATTTCTGGCATGCTCTTGGATAATTGAAAGTCAATGGGTGTGATTCTACCAAAAATTTTGTTTTTGTTGTATTTAACCCAGAATTGTGCAGTGTGATAATGTGTCTTGTGAGCTGACTGTGACTCTTTGTGACTGACTATTTAGAAATGCTCATAACGGTGCCTTATACAGTATGTAGGCTATACAGTTATAAAGTATGTTATTGTGTGTGTGTGTGTGTGTGTGTGTGTGTGTGTGTGTG